GAAGAAAGGCTTGGAAAATCTGATACTCACAGGGCAGATAAAGGGGAGGAGGGACAGGGGAAAGCAACGCGTGACATACTTAATGGGCTTGAGAAAGTGGATGGCAGAACAGAGACTGGAAAAAATAACAAAAAGATCAAGCTTATTAAGAGTTACAAGTGACAGGAGGATGTGGAGGGCAATGATCGCGTACGCTCTGAAGAAACACGACACATAACAGAAAAAGAAACATTCAGCTGATCTATTCTTGAGCTCTCATCAACAATTGCAAATATACAAAGAAGCGATTAACGAATTTAAATTATTTGCATGTAATGAGGGAACAGTCTAGATTATTAATATTAAAATAATGCTTATATGAAGTGGAAAGAATATATTGAATCCATTGCTAGGTCAACTGCTAAGAAAGTTGGTTCACTGTGTCTAGCGAGACAATTTTTCAGTCCAGAATCAATCTTGCATATCTATAAGTATGCCATTCGTCCATGCTTAGAGCATTGCTACCACATATGGCCCGGTGTCCCTGCTATTGGCCTTAAGCTCCTTGATAAAATCCAAAGAAGAATCAGCAATATTATTGGTCCTGATCTGGCAAATCGGATTCAGTCACTTTCCCACCAGCATAAGTTTACCCCTCTATGTCTTTTTCTATAAACACTTTCATGGTAATTGTTTGGATGAGCTCTTCGCCATGGTTTGGTTTCTTGTATATAGTTTTGTTTCACATTTGTAAATATTCATTGGGATTTAAATTTTTTTGAATTGTTATTTTATTCCCCTCCTCCTACAGTAAATGTGTTGTGGATTCCGGGATGAAATCCGGTACCAATAAATAACAAACGCCAGGAATGAATATAAGAAAATAATGTATTAACGTAATAATACGAACTTGTAATGCAGGTTAGCAGTTCCAGGAATGCGGGTTAGTAGCAAAATATATATACAGTCTTTGGTATTGAAGTATCGCTGTATGACTTCTTACTGAATCTACGTGCTCGCTCACGGTGACACTTGCTCGCTACGTTCGTTCTGTCTGTCTGTTACCTGCAACCTTTCACTCTCCCTCTTCGGTCTGTCTTGCTCTCGAGTCTACGTAGCAGTAGTATATGTATATACTGGGTGAGTGCATTTGTGTAAAAAGGGGAGGACCCCTCAACACTCCCTCCTTAGATCCCTTTTTGAAGGGAGTTAATATCTTTTCCTTTTATGATCGATAATCAGAGGCTCTGTAAATTTTCTTTTCCTGCTAGTCCTTCTAATTTCTGTCTCTTCTTGTGGTCTTTGAATCTCAAAAGCTTCAAAGATCGCCTCCATCGAATCATCATTTTCAGCGTTTGATGAGCTTGGCTCTTCAACCCGTCTTTTTTGTATTTGGTCAATATGTCTTCTGTGGGTAAATTTTTCTCCTTGTATTGTGTACATCACGTTTCCTAGTATGTTAATTATTTTTTTCAAAGCTCTCTTTAATTCTTTGTCAACTTTCTCTATGGTAGTAAACGGCACGTTCCGCTTCTTTTTAAATATTGGTTGGACATTTTCTTTTAATTTAATTCTGGCTGCAAACTTGTTGCATCGTCCCAACCCGCTTGAAAATACCTCGGGAAATTGATTATGTAATTCTTCCTTTAACTTTGTCGCTTCTGATGGTTTGCACTCAATCTTTTTACAAAAAGAGCTGATAGGTAAATCCCATACGTCGAACTTCTGCATCCAGTCTGTACCCACCAGATTTTCTGTATCTTTCATTACGAATATTTTGAGTTTTCTTGTTTTCCCGTGAAATTTTAAATTTAGGCTTACTTCTTCGAATTTTATACACTTTCCTGTAGCAGACTTAGCAATTTTCTGTGTATGCAACATTGTTGGTCTATTAAGCTTTCTCCATGTCTGTAGGTTAATTATCGTCAGATCTGACCCTGAGTCTAGTTGCAATTTTATCTTTTTATTTAAGATTTCAAGTTCCACATATTTCCTTATGTTAGTATTGTCTTCGTAATGCATTCTAGTAGCTCTTATCCTACTAGTAAATTTTCTGTTCCTACATTGGGATGCCTTGTGACCCATTTTTCCACACGCAAGACAGTTTTTATATTTAAAACGACAATCCTTATTCCAGTGTAGTCCTCCACATCGATAACATGCAGATGGGAGGGGCTTATATTTGTTTTGATTTTCGTCATTATTTTCCCTATACGTTGTACTTTTTTCATTATTACAGAATTTTTGTTTCTTTCTGGGGAGGGTGGAAAACGTAAACTTTTGTTTAACTTACATATATGTGATACTCCTGACTCCTCAATATCCTTCGAGTCTCTTTATACTCTGGCATTTTTGGCAGTCTTCCGATAGTTTTTGTAGTGTTAATCCAGGTTCATTTTGCCGTTTTGAAAGCATTCTTTTGCGCATTTCGCTATCCTTTGCTGAGACTAACCCTTCTACAAAAATAAGACACTTGAAATTGTCCGGGGTTAATTCTGCCAACTTAAAGTCGTCGCAATGTTTATTCCCGATTGCGGCGAACGTGGAGTAGTCCTCATTTTCATCCTTTACGAGGTTAAGACATTTCCACCTTTTGTGAAAAAGTGACGTTTTCGGGCTGAAAAGCTCCGTCAGGCATGTAACTGCTACATCAAACGTTAAATCATTTGTCTTCTTTGGCAAAATGTAATCCACAAATTTTGAGTATTCATCCGTTCCTAATTTCCTGAGTAATAGTCGTAGCTTCTTTGCTTCCGTTCAGTTTTGACAATCGATGTTGAAGATGTCTTCATGACGTCTAAAAAAGTCCCCGAAATTTTTATCCTCTTCTAGGGAGTATTTGAATATTTCTATTATGTTCCATACTGCGTCTTGGGAAAAAGTCGCCACTTTTTCAATATTTTGTTGTTGTGTTATTACTCGCTACTTTTACAATTAGCTCCTGGAGTTGTAATTGTCTTTCTTCATTTTGCATTTATCTTTCATGATTTTCCTTCTGCGTTTGTAGTAATATTTTTTTCCATTTTTTCTTGGAATTGTAATTGCTTTTCATTTTGTCTTTCTTGAAGTTGTATTTGCTGTTCATTTTGCTATTTTACAAGTTCTACTAAAATACTTTTAAAATCCTCCATGATAAGAGTCTTACGAAAAACTCGATTTTCCGTATTTTAATCCTCGTAACTATTTGTTTACCCAGTTGTTGTGGATACTGGCAAACGGCAATTTTCTCTTTTGAGTCTCCGAGAAGTGCAAATTCTTGTCGCTCAAGCTGTTGTGGTGAGAAGAGAGAAATTTTTTCTTTCCGTGTAGGTCCCAATTCCTCATCACCAAGTTGTGGTCGGCAAGGGAGAATTTTTCTTTGTTCTCTTCCTGTGTGAGTTCGAATTTCCTCGTCGCCAAGTTGACAAGGGAGAATTTAGTCTTTTTTGTTCTTCCCGTATGAGTTCGATATCCTCGTCGCCAAGTTGTTGTGGATTCCGGGATAAAATCCGGTACCAATAAATAACAAACGCCAAGAATGAATATAGGAAAATAATGTATTAACGTAATAATACAAACTGGTAAAGCAGGTTAGTAGTTCCAGGAATACGGGTTAGTAGCAAAATATATATACAGTCTTTGGTATTGAAGTATCGCTGTATGACTTCTTACTGAATCTACGTGCTCGCTCACGGTGACACTTGCTGGCTACATTCGTTCTGTCTGTCTGTTACCTGCAACCTTTCACTCTCCCTCTTCGGTCTGTCTTGCTCTCGAGTCTTCACGTAGCAGTATTATATGTATATACTGGGTGAGTGCATTTGTGTAAAAAGGGGAGGACCCCTCAACGCAATGAATTGGAACGGGGATTAATTACGACTACATGGAGATTCTGGGGTATTATGATAGATGAAGTAAGAAAGGCAAGTTGTTTTAGTGTAAGGAATATTGTGGTATGTGGCTATCTAAATTTAGTGTTAAGACAGAAGAAGATCGTCCTTTTCCCCATTCCTCATTTTTGGCCTTGTACTAAATTTTGTAATTTTACAAATAACACTCTTCGCCATGGTACCTAGACTTTAAGAATTTACAATTGAGCTGGCAAGATGTAACCGTAAATTCTATGCTAACAGTTTCTTTTTTGGCACTTCTCGCTTGTGGAACTCCCTTCCAGCTCCATTCTTTCCAGCCAACTTTAATCTGCAAAAATTTAAATGCAAAGTCAATCGCTATCTACTGTTCTCCTGATTACTCTTTCTTCTTCCCACCTATTATTAATGTTTCTGTTCATAATTTTCCACGTCTTGCAACCACTTGTGATTTAGTCGCTTTACTGCCTTGCATGGGGGATACCGATTGAAAGAAATTCGTGTATAGGTGTGCCGTTGCTTAAAAAGGTTGAGAAACACTGCTCTAGACACACTACTTCTACGCTATTCTCAGTCCATTGAAGAGGTCATGCTACCTTGGGTCAAGAGAGTGACTAATGGAAGACCCTCTGTCTGACAACAGACTCTGCACCATGCCAGACAAGCAGGAGAATCCAGTCAGACAATTTCTGCGACCACCTCACACGTTACATCTGGACACTTAACTCCCCGGACTGCACCCCGCCTTGGTTATTTATGTGGGGTGCAGTTGAGTGAGAGACCAACAAAACTTCTTGCCACACCAAAGATGAACTGAACGCAAGAATTATGATAGCATTCACCAATTTAAACAAGGAGACTGTCCAGAAGAGTCGCAGGAGATTCCGAAGATGTCTGGAGGCCGTAGTTAAAGCCAATGGCGATTTTATTGAATAAATTTACTCTTTAATATTTCAAGATATTTTTTGTGTAATTTTGGTAAATATCTGTTAAAATGAGATGTCAGTGTTATTTTCATTTTTGCTTAATTTGGACGACAATTTATCCATCGCACTCTGCATATATTTATGAGTGGGATCAATTAATAAATGGGATACACACATTTTTGCGAACTTTGCATGAATACACGTGCATTTACTTTCGTATATTTATAAATATAATGTAAAAGCGTACTCGGATACGAGTGAGATAGATAGATAGATAGATAGATAGATAGATAGATAGATAGATAGATAGATATTGACAGGCTGAGATAGAAAGATGTGAACAGAATGAGATAGATAGATAGATAGATAGATAGATAGATAGATAGATAGATAGATAGATAGATAGATACCAACCAAGCGTTTCTTTGAGAAATCTAACGTCACAGGTCAGTTGGAATCGAGGATTGTAAATCCTATTCTTTTCTTTTTTTTTTCTATTTTTTCTTTCTTTTTTCTTTTTTTTTTTTTTATTTGATACATTCCAACAACCATTTCCCAATGTCCGGCTGTCAAGCCGCATTGTTGTCGCAAACACATTTTAACGATCTGCAAATGTATGACGTTGCAAGTGCACGTTCGGAAAACAGTACACTGAAGAGGGTCGCGCCTCAAGAATAAAAACCTTTCTCCCGCAACCTGCACCACTCACCAATACGTGCAGATTTTATTTCTCCTTTCTTTTCTTTTCTTTTTCTTTACCTTGCCACCCGTGCGTGTGTATGTGAAAAACGAATTATTATTTAACCAGTCGGTAGCCATTACCCTTAAAATTCGCTTTTAAATGGAGTATTCTAATTCTGGATTTGTTCCTATGGTCACATGACATCCATTCAAGCTAAACGTCACAATCTGTGCTACTGCAAATATAAGATGGCGTATTATTAAAAAAAATTACACACGAAGGCATGCAAAAACGCACAATGCTACTATGTACACATTGATACATACAAATTCATATCGACGTATACTCGTATTCATGCATATACAGGGAAGCGTGCATGTGGATATGCATACGCGAAGAATATGCGTTATTTGCGCATGCACACAAGCTAGGTGCGCATGCGCCTACATGCGCGTAGTATACATAGTATCCTGCAAGTTATGCGTTATGTACCTATTTATATGAAAACATATTACAGGTTGAGTATACTTTATACAAAATCCCCAAATCCGAAAAACCTCCAAAATTCGAAAGTTTTTCAGGTGCTGACATGACTTGGCACAAATGGAAAAATTCAGAAAGCCCAGCTATGTAGACTACTTTGGCGCCAGTTTTTTGTTAGCAATTGTCACAGATACACCTTTGTTCGTGGATTACTTACCAGATGTTTCGAGCTCTTCAAAATGTCAAAAAGTCCTGCATTTATATATTTTTTGCAAATAATGATCATGTTTTTTGTACACGTACAGAAAGTACGAAACATTTTTTTTACGTGAATCTGAATTTCACCACTTAAAAGTCAGTGTGAGCATTATATGACTAGCGTCATTATCTCTATCTGTATGTACAGAAAATTTATGAAATTTTATATGAAACTACTTTCAGAGTATATGTATAAACTGTGTTATGAAATATGTTTGAGTTCTATTCCCAATGTGTCCCATTTTATAGATGGTATATACAAATTAAATAGCCTGTATTCCAAAATCCGAAAAATTCTGAAAAACCGAAGCACTTCCGTTCCCAGCAATTTCAAATAAAGGATTTTCAACCTGTATATATTATTTATTTATTATCACAGTGTGGGATATCTAATAATAAGTGATGGAAACAAAAAGAATCTAAATGAAATCGTCTAGATATTTATACGGAAAACACATAAAAAAAAAATAATTTAAAATTTAGAATTCCCAGCATCTCTTGTTTCTGCGCATGCGTAATCGCATCGATGTAAACAAATTCAATCTGATGATGTCCCAAAGCAGGGATCGGCAACGTTTTGCTATGTACCGACTTGGGGTTTTAAAATCATTCAATGTGCCAACAATATACGTATTTTTATACAAATCAAGGTCAATATACCTGTTCTACAATATATTTTATATAGTAATATATAGTAGTATATATATTTTAGTATATATTAAAATTTAAACAGCTAAATATCTTCTTTGCGTCGTAGTAGTTATTGGTTCGGACTTCATGATGTCATTTGCGGCTGCGTGCCATTAGAAATTGCTTACCGTGCCACGTGTGCCGTATGTTGCTGACCCCTGTCCTCAAGGACGAAACGCGTCACGCGAAAACATTTTTTCACTTTGTCATACATCTTTCTCCCAAAATCGTTCTTGATATAAAAAAGTTTATAGATAGATATCTTATATTCTTTATTATTTATTCCCACTTAAATAGATGAGTACCTGAGTGCGTGCGCACTTTCCCTCTACACCTCCAAGCAGCATGAGGTGCACCAAGGTGCATTTTCAGATACGATGTACTTGTTTTTGTGGGTGATGAATTGTTTTCCAGCCTACAGCCCCTTCCACACAGAAAAAACGTCACAAGCCTCTCGCTGCTTCATCGTCATTTCGATGGCAAGTGTTCTTTTATTCAACCGGGAAATAGCTCGTAAAATTGAATGTCTCTAAAACGAGACTGCTCTCATTTAACCACCATAGAGAATCTTTTCTGCCCACCATCAACATGACTGATGCTAGACTCATGGAGAGCAACACATTGCGCCTTCACATTTTCAACTGACTTGAAGTGGAACGACTACATCGAATTAACAGCTGCATCTACTGCAAGGAAAGCTGGTTGACTGTGTCGTGCCAGAAGATTTTTCTCGTCAGAGTCCATCTTGCACATTTACAAATCTACCATTCGTCCATGCATTGAATACTGTTGCCATATCGGGTCTGATGAACCTGATATTCATCTCGAGGATGGAAGAAGGATTTTCAATGCCATCGACCCTGACTTGGCATCTCAACTTCAGTCTCTTTCTCATCGGCGTGACGTGACTTCCCTCTGGCGCCCGGACTACGTGAGTTTAAGTGTGCTACTAGGTCCCACCCTTTTACTGGTGAATTCGTTAAATGGAATCGCCAATTCTACAATGAATAGTTTCTTTTCTCGCACTTCTCACCTGTGGAACTCCCGTTTCTTTGCTTCCCTGATAACTACAATCTCAAAATTTTAAATGCAACGTCAATCGCCATCGTCTATCTTCTTCAATCACGTTCTGCTTTTATCCTTTCCTTGCCCCCTCCTTATACTAAGTCTTTTTATACCACATTCACTGTCTGTTACCCTCTGCGCACGAGTGGCATTCCCACCTTGCTTGGAATGAAATGAGCTTTAAAAAGGGGCAGGAGATTTGAAATCGATTTTTCTTTGTGTGTCAAGCGGAGGGCTGCGGTTTGAAATCTGTTTTCCTTTGTGTGTCCAGCGAAAGGCAGAGGTTTGAAATCTGTTTTCCTTTGTGTGCCAAGCGAAGGGCTGCGGTTTGAAATCCATTTTCCTTTTTGTGTCAAGCGGAAGGCAGGCGGTTTGAAATCCGTTTTCTATTGTGTGTCAAGCGAGGGGCAGGCGATTTGAAATCGGTTTTCCTTTGTCTGTCAAGCGAGGGGCAGGCGGTTTGAAATCGGTTTTCCTATGTGTGCCAAGCCAGGTTTGAAATGAGTTTTCCTTTGCAAATCGAAGGACGAGGGATTTGAAATCAGTTTTGCTTTGTTTATATTGACTAACTTCTCAAACTAATGATTTTATTCTACCCGAATGAATAACATCATTATCGAAACATTTTGACGGTTATACAAATTTAATAATAACGATAAAACCTGAAATGTTAAAATATCAAGATGAAAAATACAAGAAGAGGGAGAACACAAATGAAAATAACTTTACAACTTTTTCGTTTAAGGTACTAATAGCAATAAAAGCCAGGTGAAATTGCTGGATCAATAAATAATCTTCTTAAACATTGAAAAAGAAAAGCTTTCATTTATTCTAAAATTCTACAGATTAATTCTTAAAAAAAGACCATTTTAGATTCCCGCTTAGAAATGTTATGAAACATTAAACTATAATTTGCTACAATTATTCAATCCTGTATATGTATGGGTATTAGTATAAGTACCATCCAGTGGTCTCGAGAAAAAATGGATCCGCATCTAGAGAGTCTTTTTTTTTATCTAGCTGATGATAGTGTGGAATGTCCTCTTTTGATTTCAGGACTGACTAGGATTTTTTATGTTTACATGGATTACCTTCCCTGGTTAAATTGTTTCTTCTACCCGAACTGCATGAATTCGCCAATTAAATATTTTAGCAGGGATGCAAAATTTAATAATAGTGATAAAAAATGTTTCACACTCATCCCGCCACCCACCCCCGTTTTTGGAACAGGAGCAGAGGTTTATCCCTTGTTTGCAGTTTAGGATTGGGTTTCCGGTTCATTCTGAAGTCTTTTCTTTCTCTTTCAAGGCGGGGAGTGCGTACTTACCGACGCCATTTACAATGAAGGCGGTACGCGTGTCTCCATTATGAAATTGATGCCAACTCTGTCGCATTTAACGGTAAATTTTGAGCGAATCGCTCAGATTTACCACTTAGAGAATTTGCATACGTGTGTTCATACCAGCATAAAGCCAGCGCCTTTACGCCAGTCGAACCAAGGGTGACAGAAGCGGTGAATTTATCAGTGACATTGTGACCTTATGAACTGCTTTGCTGTTCAATGCCGGTTCGAACCATGCAGGAGAGGGCGTTTTCTTTTCTTTTTTTTCTAGACGGCGCGACCGGCAGATATAATACACACTTTGAAGAAACTGAGCGTCTATTCAAACACGGGTATTCGCTAAAAATAACGTTTGAGGTAATAAATAAATAAATAGCCGGTAAGTGAATAGCAACATAGAAAAATGATTTGTTTCGCTCTGAGCAAGAACTTATTCAGACTATAAACGATGTTATTAGTCGGGGAAGAAATACAACAATTGTTGCATGTAGTTTGCATCGAAACGTTAAATATACGGAGACGCAAATTTAATTTTTAACGTCCTATGCTTCTTGATGTTTAACTTAGCCGATTTCATTTAACGTTTTATTGCTTTTGAATTTATTTCTTATTGTTCTTCTGTCTGAATTATTTCCACATTCTGTCAGCAACAGTTTTGTGAAGAAAGAAAATGCGCTGTTGAATCTTGAGCGTAAATATATCGTAGAGGATTCCGAAATTAATGCACTTTCAATATATTTTCGCCTTAATGCACTACTCTCTCTTTTAATTAAACCTACATTCTTTAAGTCGAAATTATAGTTATTAAAATGATGGAATAATGTATTACGCATATTATTCTGTAAAAGATCCCTTTTATGTTCATATCATTTTTTATTTAATCTAATTCAAACCGCCTTCTTTAAATCGAAATTATTGCCAGGCTTATTACAATCAACGCCTAATTCATTGAGTATTGTTGTGTTCACTTCATGTTTTATTTTAATCATAAAGAGATAATTAATTTTTTTTTATTCGTGATGAAGATAGACATCTTGGCGAAATTGACACTCAGAGGACTTATTGAAGGCAAGAGTGTCAGAGCGAAACGGCAGTCACCGACTTATACTAAATGAATGGCAGAACGGAGAGTAAGTAGACAAACAATAAGTAAGTAATAAAACATTGTCAATAAGTAATAAGTAAGTAATAAGCTATTATAAGTAATAATATTAGTTATTGCTAATAAGTAATAAGACAAACATTGCTAATAAGTAATAAATTACTTATTGCTAATAAGTAATAGGTAAGTAATAAGATATTATAAGTAATAATATTACTTATTGCTAATAAGTAATAAGTAAGTAATAAGACATACATTGCTAAAAGAAAATGTCACACCTAAGTATTTATCGGGATTTTTAAAGCTTATTTTGTAATTTAAATCTAATATCTGATTATTTTCTTTTCCAAGGGTGATAGTGCAAAGTGAACAATACACTAGGCGGAAATTTGAACTCGACTCGCATTCCGCGTCGAAAATTGTTATATTACCCGCAGATCGTTATATATCATGGGTCTCAAACTGAAGGAGACAAATTTCCGTTTTCCCTAATATGAGTTGTCAAATTAATTTCTTCTTGAGATATTAGGGAGGAGAACGAGATATTGTCGCAAAGTACATTTATACTCACTCATAAAAAATAGTTGGTAGTGGGAAGGTCGAGTTTACTTCCCTTCTCTGGAAAGAAACTAGAACAGAAATTGCTGACCTTAAAACTGACTCTCTGTTTGCACTTGATAGGAAATTTGGTTCACTGTGTTGTAGTAAAAGATCTTTCTCTGCAGAATCTATAATAAATATCTATAAATCTACCATTCAACCATGCTTTCAATATTGCTGCCACATATGGTCCAGTGCTCTTGCTATTTATTTAGAGATTCTTGATAAAATCCAAAGAAGAATCAGCAATATTTTTGGCCCTGACCTGGCGCCTCAGCTTCAGTCATTTTCCCACCACCGTAAAGTAGCTTCCCTCTGCCTTTTCTTTAAATACTTTCATAGTAATTGTTCGGGTAAACAATTATTAATTTAAGCGCACTACTAGATTAGCAACAAAGTCTCATCAATTTACAGTTGAATTGGGTAGATGCAACCGTAAGTTCTATGCTGAGAGTTTCTTTGCTTGCACTTCTCCTTGTGAAACTCTATTCTGACTCAATGATTCGCGGCCAACTTTGATCTTGAAAAATCTAAATGCAATGTCAATCGTTATCTGCTGCTTGATTATTCTTCTATTGTTATCATTCCTTAATAATGTTTCTCTTTTTTCTTATTCGTTCCCACTCGTTTCTGTCTTAGTGGCTTTCTTGCCTTGCTGGGAGGGAAATGATTTTTAAAAAAAAAAAGAAAAAAGTTAATTTCAATAATATTACTATAAAAATATAAAAGCTAGAAACAAATTTATTAAACTTACTTAAATTTGAGGAAAACATTGGTCACGAAACAGGTTCTCCGTGGACCGCATAATTATAGACCTCAGAAATATATTCCTCAGACCGCACAAATATAGTCCGTGGACCGCAGAACTATAGCCCGCTGACCGCAAATAGATAGTCCCTGGCCTACAGAATTATACTCCGCAGACGGCAGATAGATTGTCTACAAACGGCAGAAATATAATCCTCAGACCGGAGAAATATAGTCACTGGACAGCAGAATTACAGTCCGCTGGCCGCAGATATATAGGTCCGCATACCACAGAAAGATAGCCCGCAGAACGCAGGAACATAGTCCGTGGACCACAGAATTATAGTCCGTAGACAGCAGAATTATAGTCCACAGACAGCCGGTAGATAGTCCTCGGGCCGCTGAAATATAGCCCGTGTAACGCAGACTTATAATCTGTAAACCGCAGAAAGATATTCCACAGACCGCAAAAATATAGTCCGTGGACCGCAGAATTATAGTCCGCGGACAGCTAAAATATGGCCACTTAATGATAGTCCGTAGACTGCTGAAATATAGTCAGTGGACAGCAGAATTATAGTCTACGGACGGCAGATAGTCTATGGGCTGCAGAAATATAGTCCGTAGACCACAGGCGGCAAATAGATAATCCACGGACAGCAGAAAGATAGTCCACAGTTCGTAGAAATATAGTCCACAAGCTGCACATAGTCCACAGGCCGCAGAAATATAATCCGTGGACCGCAGAATTATGGTCTATAGGCCACAGATAAATAGTCTGCAGACTGCATAGTTCGTAAACAGCTGAAGTAATGTCCGTGGACCGCAGAATTATAGTTCGCGGACCGTAAATAGATAATTCAGACTGCAGAAAAATTAGTTCGCGGGTCGCATGCAAGGCTGCAGGTCGTGTGTAAGCGAGCTCTGTTACATATAATCCTTTAAAAAATCAGCATTTGAGATTCTTAATTTTACTTTGGCTTGAACACAGAGACCACACTTAACCAATACCAAACTATTTCCCACCAAACGGGGCCAAGATCTTTAAAATCTAAAATGTTGTTGTTGCCAGTGCATTTCAATCTGAATTCCGAGCAAATAGCATAAACAATCTTGCTTTGACTCCATTTCCGGAAGTCGTCGCTTGTACGTCTTTTGCCGTCATAATTTCAAAACAATAATTGACCCGAACATAATTAGCAAAATCTAGTAAAATGGTTCCACTTCCGTGTAGATTCCGGGCTCAAGCGTGTCTTCTCAAGCTGTTTTCTTTCTGAAGAGCGGATATTTAGTATTCTATCGTAGCTAGATTAAATCTTCAACCTTCACCTACAATAATTATACCAGTTTATTGGTACCCAATCTCATTATATCTGAAGCTAAAAAAAACAAAAAACGTAGTAACTTCCATGTTGCTTCGCGTTTGCAAATGGACATATGGATCTTTTTATACTGTTGTTCACAACGTACATAGCCTCAAAAATTAAAATGCAATGTCAAAAAGTTATCTACTGTCTTCTTGATCCCTCTTCTTTTATTGTTTTCGATCCTTAATAATGTTTATCTTTTTCTTATTCTTTCACAATCGGTAATCTCTTGTGTCTTAGTAACATTACTATCCTGCTTGGAGTGAAGTGATTATAAAGAAAAAGATGTTCATATTATGTTAATATGTAGGGTAGATAATGATTGACCCTAGCCTTGAACAGGTTAAGATTGGAGTGATTGGAAAAGTGTCCTCTCGTGAGTCTGTTCTGCAAAGTAACAACTCTGGGGAAGAAACTGTTTGAGTGGAACGCCCTCCTTACCAATGGAATACGAAAGGAATGAGGAGGATTCGCCAGTATGTACAAGGCATGATGAGTCTTCGAGGTGAAGATCTGAGCTGGTAGAACTAAGAAAAGTAACTCGTTTGAACATTTGCCATGGAAATAGTGATAAATCACAAAAATATTAGCAATATTTCATCTGTGAGAAAGGGGTTATAGGGCGGAAAATAAGTAATCACTCACAGGGCCGCGTAATCTCTTTGAACTCTGTCAAGGCTAGACAGTGAGGATTGGGCAAAAAAACGTATTGCTGGTAATAATTTTTCCCAAAAAAGTATTGTTGGTAATAAAACCTATTTTTATACTTTCATAGTGCTTTGAGCCCTTTTGGGGAGTTAACTATTTGCCCGTATCTGGGACCCTGACAGATGCCACCATCCCGGGTCAGGGTGGACCTGGGATCACCAGCAATTAAGAGGTGGTTCCACGCTCCTCAAAACCTCTTGATCAAAGATCTTGCTGTCAGATGTAGTTTATCGTCATACCCAGGACGCGGATATAGTTTATCGTCTTCCCCAGGACGCGGAAGTCGTTTATCGTTATACCCAGTATGGTACTTTGCTTGGGGTGAAATGATTAAAAAAAAGTTCATTTTATGGGGATAGGTAGGGTAGATAACGATTAACCCTAAACTTGAACAGATTAAGATTGTAGTGATTATATCCAGTCAGGAGTATGTTCCACATTGTTGTCCTCACATTGTTTCTGGGATAAATTTTTCAGGAGCCCGTAAATATTTGCAATCTAAAGTGTTGATTCCTGCAACATGATGGTGACTAAACATTTACCCAATCATACAAGCATAGCGCAACAATACTATGTAGAAAAGTTAGTGTTACTTTCGGTTTAAATTTTTATTTAGAGAGCGAATTTCTTTTTCAAAGCTAAAAATCATATAGACGAGGTTAAGAAATTCGCTCTGTGAGGAGAATGTGGAACAGAGAGTAACGCTCGCTTTATAAAGTCATCTACACACTATCAGTGAGTCAAAGCTAAAGATCATAAAGACAAGATTATATCTTCTCACATTGACCTTGAGTAACTGATAGTGTGCAGATGACTTTATAGAGTTTTAATTCATTTTTATTTTATTTATCAAAAAGGTTGTCTGTTTCTTTATTAAATTTTTTTATTTGATATACAGAGGCCCCCTCTATCAGGGGCCCCACTTGCTACCGGACAAGATAGTACCCAGGCCAGTTATAGTGAGTGGTCGGGCTGAGAACTTTTCAGCAATCGTATATTATTGCGATTTTCGTTTTTTTTTTTTTTTTTTTTTTTTTTTTGCCTTCAAATTGAATCGGAACGATTCAGTTGTTTGCTTCGAAAGCTCGCATCTGCGGCGTTATCTTTGTTTCCGGCATTCGAACCCTGGCCAAGCCTGACGTTTTACAACTCAGGGGATGGGCGTGGCCAATGTTAGTTGAACAAAAAGAAACAAAAAATGGAGAGAGAGGAAATAAGAAACAACCGTAGGAGATGATTCCGGTCACATGTTACTTTTTGGTTTCTGGTTTCCGCCAACGTCACCCGGACCGGAAATAGCTTTTGGAAGGCGGAAGTCTTCGAAGTTGCTCACATTGTTCCTGGCTGTTCGAGCGCAGACATGGACGCTTAATGATATGAACGAGATTGTATGCCCCGAAGCTTTTTCGCTCTTCTCGCCGCTGCTAATTGTAATGTTCTATTTTTGTTCATTGTGCGCATGCTCAAGCATGTCTGCTGGCTGGCACAATAGGTCGACCTTAGTTGAATATAAAGACGCACGCATTTCATAATCTACTTGTGCGTGAGTGTTTGCGTACTTCCGCACACGCGCGTGTGTGTAAGTTTTTTTTATGTTCTTGTATGTTTATTGCATTGAATATTTATTTGGTTACAAAGAACAGGTACGGGACGCTAATAAGAATAATAGTCACTAGTTTTAACCCGTGAAAATTTCACAGTTTTCGTATTTGAAATTTTGAATGCTGGTCGTTATTTTAAGAAGTGGGTACAAATGAAAAAATTGAAATTACCATTTCACTGAAACAGACGTTAAACACTTCTATTTTCCCTTCTTTTTCTTCTTTTTTTCATTTTCTTACTGAAACCAAGTAGCGTCTCTGATATGTCTTTTGTCTTCTCACGCGATCAAAACGGAATAGTCCATTATTTATGAAGTATTGGCAGGGCGTAACGGTCGTGCGAACTAAGGAACTAACAAAGCGAAGGACAGGTGCAATTACATATCATTCTGCTAGCCTGTACCTTATTGAGTGTCTTTATCTATGCGCCGTGTCGGGCAGCGGCTATCATGGCTCTCCACAACTTCCTATTCTTCGTAAGACTAAGTAATTTCCCCCTTACTCTCCCACCCAATCCCTGTTATTCCATCCATTGACACAAGCTCATTAGGTAGGTTATTCAATCTTTTCATCTGTCTCCTTTGCCTTCAATAAGTTTTATGAGTGTTAAATTCTCCAAGCCCTTATTCCCAGAATTTCAACTGTCGCTTTCTGATTCTAAATACTCCCTTCCTAACTTTACTTGTTCCATAGTTTGACACTGCGCTTTACCGTGTCCTTTCATGATATGAACGGTCATATATCTCCACAACTTCCCACTCTTCATACTCAGCAATGTTTATCATTTTGCTACCACTCTCGATCCTTGTTCTCCCATCCATTTACGCAAAGTCGTTAGGCAGATCACTCGCCATTTTCTTTTTGTCATCCTTGCCTTTAGTATGTTCTTTGAATATCAAATTCTCCAAGCGTTCTCTCCTCATTATGCCTCTCAGAAATTTTAACTGTTTTTGATTCTAGGTAGAAGTGTGCTTTCCGTATTCATTTTTCTTAATTAAAGCCTTCTTCGTTGCTTACATGTTCCGTCCATGGCACTCTCAATATCCTTTTGTAGAACTAAATCTATTTTATGAAGCCTTGTCTTCATATGTGAGAAAACTCTCCAGCATTCACTGCCATATTGGAGGACTGATATTACAAAGCAGTTCCACACTCTTTTTCTTTGCATCTCACAAAATTGTATGGCCATTATTGTGTGTACTTGTCTAATTAAAAATGCACGTGGGTATTTAGAATGAAGACAAGCTTAAAATACCGTCTATTTGAATAAATTTGGTTATGGAATGCTAACAAGTACAGAAAAATAATTAATAAAGAGAAAAATGAAATTGTTTATCAAAAAAGATAAAATAAAGTAAAGCAGAATTGCTAAATTAAACCAAAAGTATTCCAACTGTTTCTATATGCCATGTCCCTTCATGAGTGATCATGGCTCTCCACAACTTCTTATCCTTTGTAGCTCTTAGAAATGTTTGTCTTCTTACCATCGTTCCCAGTTCCTGTTATGCCATTCATTTACACAAGCTTATTAGATAGGTTGATTATGGCTCTCCACAACTTCCTATCTTTTGTAGCTCTCAGCAATATTTGTCTTTTCACTATCCTCCCCACTCCCAGCATTCATTGCTATATAGGAAGACAGTTCTTTGTTTCTAACGAAATTTTCCTGATTCTTAATGCTTTGCTGAAGTTTTGAAAGGCATATTTCGCTATTCCAATGTGCCTTTGGATTTCAGTGTCACATTTTTCATCCTCTATTAAAGCACCTTCCAGATATTTTAAATCTATTGAAAGTAAATGGGAACACGTAATTAAACTTTGTCTATCGTTCTCTTTCTTTTTCTTTGATCTACCGTAACGAGGCAGACCCCGTCTGTAAAACGCGGACCTTTACAACAAATAGAAGATGGCAACAAACTAGAAAAAAAAAACATCTGCTAACACATCCGACAAACACCTATCTACGTCGTGCGTAAAACCTGAACTCAACAATGCTTAAACTCTGGTGATCAAATGCGAACTGGTGTTTCAGTGGATTTAATCGTAAGTTTGTTTAAGAACTTGACCCATTCTTTGACTCCGTCGGGCATTAATGGATAGAAAAAGATTACAAACGAAAGAATGTGTGTCCACCAATGTTACTTGGCATTCATTCTTTTGTATAAAAGTGATTTGCTTTTCTTTCCTTTCTTTCTTTTTTTTTACTGTGGTCAGCATAATCTCGACAGTAAGGATGAGATAAGTGGCAAGTTGGTCGGCTTGGCTCTTTTTTTACGAGATGGAGTTGAATATGACAGAACCAAAATGGCAGAATTCACTTTGGCGCGCGGTCAACAATCGCTTGAATCCCAAAGCGAGGTTAAATGGATTAAGTTTTTAAAGACCTAACTATCATTGTGTATGCTTCCGGGCATATTTTTGATTCCGAAATAAATAAATAAATATCTCTTGGTGAACCCGAATTTGTCTGGACCGATTCCCGAGACTCAATCATGTCACCTTATTTACAGATGCCTCCAATCACTAAATATGGTCACTACTTTTCTTCTTAAGGACGTAGGCGATCGTGGCTCTCTGCAATTTCCTGTCTTTTGTAGCGCTTAATAAATTTTGTCTTTTTGTTATCTCTCCTAAACCTTGTTCCGCCATCCATTTACTCAAGCTAAGTAGATTTAGCGTTGCCTTTCCATTCCTTCTTGACTTCAATCTGTGAGTATCTGATATTTCAAGCCCCCTTTCCTCATTTTGTGCTCTAGAAGTTTCAACTGTCTCTTCTTGGTGTTAAATATGTTTCCTTATTGTTTCTAAATCTTCATCGTTATTAACGGTATCCTCAGCATCCTTCTGTAGAACCACATTTCTATTGCCTCAATCTTCATCTGTGAGGAGATTGTGCAGCATTCACTGCCATATAGGATTGATATTGCGTAACAGTTCAGTACTCTTTTCTTTGTTTCTAACGAAATTTTTCCTGTTTCTTGATATTCTGCTTAGTTTTTGAAACTCATCTTTCGCTATCCCAATGCTTCTTCGGATTTCAGTGTCGAACTGTACTTCTTCAGTTTAAACACTTACTCAGGAATGCAGTTTTTCACTTCAAAACATGGTCACTATTACTGACCCTAAATACGGCCCTCTTTGACCTATTGTTTATACATAAATTTTAGGAATAAATCATACACACACATATACGCATATATAAACACATAATATCGCCCAAATGTCAGACCAAGGCTTCGGCGGCACACCCCCACTCGATAGTCAAATGTTTTGATGACGTCCCTGCATAGTTGCTCTTCGATCTCACCACTATGCCTTATTATCTCATCCTGTTGAATTGTTGTTGGCTTGTTGGCATAGACCTTACTTTTGAGATGACCCCAAAGGAAGAAATCTAAAGGCGTCAAGTCGCACGAGCGTGGTGGCCAACTGACTTCGGTGTTTCGGGAGACGATGCGACCAGGAAACTTCTCATACAAATTCTGTTTGAACGTCCATTTTCGTTATAGGCTTCGATAACTTTAACACGTTGTTTGATTGTTAATATTTCCATGGTTGATATTGCCAAAGGCTTGTTAGACGCTTAAACATAATTCACATTTAAAATCGTTCCAAGTTATTGGAACACCTTATATATATATATATATATATATATATATATATATATATATATATATATATATATATATAACCGTTATTTTTAATGGCTACAAGTATTTGAGTTGACATCGTTGTTTTCTATTTATTTTCTTAAACAATATTAAATTAATATCAACCGGCCTAGATCAAACTGTCCTATTAAAGAAAAATGTTCCTTCCGACAGAAATCGAATCTATATTTCCTTCTTCCAACAAGGAGTCTATATCCTATAGCCGAAGCGTACACTTACCTATTAGGCCACGGGAGACTGTCAAGATAAAGCGACTCTCAATTACCTACATGAGGAATACGCATCTCTCATTGGAACGTTTTAGTTTTAATTTCGTGCCTTAAACGTAAACAGTAATTTTTAAATTGATTTGTTTAATCCGACATATATACAGAGTGATTGAAAAGTAACTCCCTATTTTATGTAGGATGGACTCTCTGGTTTAACTAGGATTTTAACAAAACGGGAAAAGTTACTTTTCAATCACCCTGTATATCTATTTATACGTACGCAGTAGCTCATACTCACGCACGCACACTCAAGCGCGCTTTCATATATACACACACGCACACACACATACATATATATATATATATATATGTGTGTGTGTGTGTGTGTGTGTGTGTATTGTTGTAATCTTATTTTTTGGCATATATATATATATATATATATATATTATCATCATTATTATTAATGTAATTATTAATTATTATTTTAATTTAATTTGATAGGCCTAAGGCCAAATCACGTTGAAACACCGGTTTCCGTACGATCACCGAAGTTAAGCAATGTCAAAACTGCTCAGTACTTAGATGGGTGACCGCTTAGGAATACCCGATGCTGTACGATTGGTGTAATAGACAATGGCTCGGAATTTTTAATCAAAGAACCTAGTTCCATTTTCAGTTGGGTTCGTTATATTCACTTAGGTGCAATTACCCTTTGATTAGGTATGAATCCACTTCTTCTTCTCCCCCAACTATGGGTTAATTATTAAGATTTGTATCACTAAACCATTATTATCTCAAAAACAAATTCTTACTATCTGTAAATATTTTCTGGCTTCAAATAACCTGAAAAGTGTTCATAAGCCGTAAAAACTAATCAGTCAATCAACAGTATTTCTTTCCAAGAGTCAGATCAGACTAACAATGGAGTATTGCAGTCACATCAGAGCTGGTGTTTCCCAATTCTCACTCAAGTCTAAACAGAATTCAAAAGCGTTTACCTACTTTCCACCCAGAAACCCCCTCCTCTCACACAGACGAAATGTCGGAAGCCTCACACTGCTCTATTGCTACTTCCATGGAAAGTGCTCAGACGAACTACATTCCTTAGTTCCACCAGTTCTAGCCTTTACGGCTAGGACCCGCCATGCTAAGCGCATTAAAACAAACCATCATCATTTACTTCGTATTCCATTGGTGAGAAGTAAATCCCACTCGAGCAGCTCCTTCTCGTGAACCACTGCCCTGTGGAACAAACACCCAGGAGGATGTTTCCTCGATCACTACAATCTTAACCTGTTCAAGTCTCGAGTTAACTGTTACCTTCCCCTCATTTCTGCATAAATTGACCTATAACGTAACCCACTACCTCAAGTTCCCACGGGCCTTGTACAGGAAGAACCATTCTGTAACATATATATATATATATAGAGAGAGAGAGAGAGAGAGAGACGATCCTTAAAAATCCCCAAAAGTACTAAATATATAGTACAGACGATCCTTAAAAATCCATTCGGGTTCATGAACATATTCAAATATTCATCTCTTCAGACAGAAGTTTGTTTTTTTAACACATACCCATATATATATATATATATATATATATATATATATATATATATATATATATATATATATATATATATATATAATGGGAGAGGTATCAATCCTCTTCTTCACCCTCTAGGGTAATAGCAGGACAGACTGGGTTCTATAGCCTTGAAAGGCAATTGGTCTAGGAGAAGGACAACTCTGAATTAAAACTCTTCGGAGGGTTGTTTGGGGAGCTTGTGGCACGCTGTCGGTTCCTAAGAACTGAGGTGATTGATCCTCATACATCGAATACGGTGGGAGAGTCCACCATATATACATACATATATATATATATATGTGTGTGTGTGTGTGTGTGTGTGTGTGTGTGTGTATGTAATGGAAAATGAAAGATTGATCGTTACAATTTTTGCCTTCTAAATATAAATTATTTTTTCTATTCCCCTATATTTTACCTTCAGAGCTAAGACCCCCCCTATGCCACGCCCATTATAGCGATCCACCCTCATTCATTTCGTATTTCATCGGTGAGAAGTAAATCCCACTCGAGCAGCTTCTTCACGCGAACAACTGCTCTGTGGAACAGACTCCCAAGAATATGCTTTCCCGATCACTATAATCTCAACCTAAGTCTATGACTAACCGTTATCTTCCCCACATAGCCGCATAAACTGTGCGTCTTAATCTCTAAGACGGGAATCACTCTCTACCTCGAGTGGTTCCCGGGCCTTTTACAGAATGAACCTCACTATGAAAAAAAATGAAAGAAAATGTCATGGCAGATATTTAGACTAGCTTCATTCCTTAATTCCACCAGTTCAGACCTTCACAATGAGGAGATGCCATGTCGCATATACAAAGTTGAATCACCCTCACTCTGTTCATTGTTAAGGAGGAAGTTTCTCTCAGACTACTTCTTCCACAGAACTGTTAATAATTCTTTACAATCCTAACTTTACCCATGTCTAAATTAAACCATTATTTATCCTACATATTCTCAAAATATGCACCTTTTGCACACCTTTAGAACAACCTTATTCATTAACACTCTACTTTGAGTGACTCTTGGGCCTTGTATTACGTGAACAATTGCACAAAAAAGACAGAGAAATCCGTTTGATAAAGAAAGGATATTGAATGACAATATGGATTTCGCTGGTATTTTATATTTGTTTTAAGAAAAGTTGCGAGTGAAAATACGTGGCGACAAGAATAAAACAATGATTGAATCATCTATGAATTAAATTCCTAGATTCAAGGGAATTAGACCTCCGTTGGGGAAAGCGATAATAAATGTTTAAAATGGAGTAATTTAGATTTAACGAAAGCTTTTTACGTCATCACGCGAACAATGGAAAATTGTTATCTATTGAATTCAACAATGGAATAATTGCAATGATAAGCGCATCTGACGTAAATGAAGCGACAAGAAGGGGAAAAACAAACATAGACGAATACAAAAAATAGACGAATTTCAAAATCCTTCCTTGTTTTTTGAACAGGAGTAGAGGTTTATTCCTTGTTTCTTGAGTATTTAATTCGTAAAAATACAAAACTGTGGCACAAGGCAGAAGGGGGAAATGGGTGAGATGTGCGGTCTTCGTCAGCTATCCGAGTCCTAGTTAATCAGAACCACGCTCCATTCATTCATTACAATTTGCTCATACACCACAAGAACTCATCGATCACCACTCAATCCAGCATATACCATAATACCACATATTCACAGGGGACTTACAAAACACCCCATGACATAAAAATTTAATCATTCATAATGTCCGTTTAAATAAAAAAAAATGCATGATTCATTAAATGATGTGTAGATGGAAGGATGAACCCAGAAAAACAAACTAAAAATGAAACACAAAGATAAAACTAAAACAAAACATCGCTAGTAAGACCCGTCCACCCCTCAAAATAATAATTAGAGTGGCCGCTGTATTCTGCCGCTAGACAGAATTAAGAAGCAAACTCAGTAATGGAGTGGGAAGGGTAAAAATAAATGACGGAATGAGAAAATCAAAGGCTGACCCAGTCAGGATGAAAAATGGGGGACAAATATAAATTGGGGGTGGGGTGGGGGGAATCTGAACATGGGTTATAACAAAAGAGAATGCCGGGAACGAAACTTATTCACATTAATTAGGAAATCATAATCTTGTCTAACTTAACCAGTGGTGGGGGGTTCACAGCAAACCGCAACGGTGTTTCCCGTTTAGGATTGGCCTTCCAGTTCTTTCTCTCAAAGTCTTCTCATTTTCTCTCACTCTTAGTAACCCCTTTCGTCTTATTGGCATAAACGCCATGTTTGGGTGAAATGATTAAAAAAAAAAAAAAAAAAAAAAAAGAACAGAATAGACCTAAATGAAAACTGTTAATCCAAAACCTTCTATTATTTAAAATTAAAAAATATTAAATAAATAAATAAACAAATCAAATTTATTGATTGATTCATTTATTCCGGTTTATCAACCCTTTGCTGGTTATTTAAAGTCCAAAAATATTTTTAGATTTTAAGAATTTTTTTTAGATAATAATGTTTTAGTGATTGCAAACCTATAGCCGGGGGGAGAAGAGGTGGAATCATACCATTCCCAAAGATATTTGTGCTTAAATGAATATAAAAAAGCAAATGGAATTGGAACTCAGCTCACCAATTAACAATTCCATTACATCACACTCTCATCCAAACAAACAAAGCAAATTGATTTATCAGTAGAGTTCAATAAATGTGAATGTATTCTTAAATATAATTACAGCAGATGTAGACAAAGCAAAATATTCCACTGAATATTACCAAAAAGCAACATAAACTGATATTTCAGCAAGTAGTACCAACTACTATGCATATTTTATTATTAGTAGCACAATTTACTATAATAATTTGGCTTGTTTTCAATATTTTATTGCTAGTAACAATTTTATGCCTAACGGACTCCGGTACAGTACTCGGTCGTCTCTCAAACTTAATACGACTGTATTCGACACAGGACAGAAATGCAAATTATAAATCAGGAGCAGACTAAAATCAAAGTACACAAATTTAATTATCAGGGAATTGTTCTAATCGAGGGCGGATAACCAAAAATGCGTTCCAAAAGCTAAGCAGAGTATTAAGAGACTAAACTTCAGATACTAACGGATTAAACACATAATAATGGATTAAACAGGGATTTGAGTTTACTCATATAATATAGTTTTTACAGCATTCCTCGGAAGTGTCAGCCGCACGTCTTTATTTTTCATTGAAAAAGGACACAGGCCTGTCCGAAAATTTCGACTTTAAAATCTTTCTCTACGTGCTTCATATATGCCACGAGTGTGTGTGTGTGTGTGTGTGTGTGTGTGTGTGTGTGTGTGTGTGTGTGTGTGTGTGTGTGTGATTAATATCATCAATCTTATTGCCAATATTATCATTTTGTTGTCTTGTTATTCCTCAAATTTCATTAACAGGTCTATTAAATTTACAGACACAAACACACACATATACCACACACACACGAACACACACACACACACATATATATATTTATTATTATTATTATTATTATTATCATTAATGTTCTAACGACTGCGTTTAAGCCGGAAAAAGACTGTCACCCTAGGGTGTTGACATCGATGTCCACCTTTATATTTATATTCGCTCTATCTCTGATATTGAACACTTTAACCCATAAATATAATATACCTTAAAATTATAATTTTATCATATATATATATATATATATATTTATGCTCTACATTTGTATCGAGCACTATTTTTTAAAAATAATAACTAAAATACTAAGGGACTTTGGATTATTTACCTAACCAGTTCCTTCCTATTTTCTATATATTTTTCACACGTATATATATATATATATATATATATATATATATATATATATATATATATGTACAAACATACACACAAGCACACACACACATATATATGTGTGTGTGGGGTTGTCAATTCAGTCACTTATCTTCCTTGCTACTTGTTATATGTACTGTGGTTCTGACTGGTTTTACTCTGATAGAAAACATTTCAACACTTCTGGTGTCTTATCAAGTGATGGTGTTGATTC